ACAGATGTAAACAAAAGCTCTAAGTGTTCGTTAAAGCCTGGTTCATCAAGATTAATCAGCAAAAATTACTTAAGTGCATAATGTGTGAATGTCATTTCAAGTTAATTTATCCAGTTTTAAATGGTGTCCCTTGAAATTTTGTAATATTATTATGTAAGAATACTTAAGTAAGGAATAATTGACGGCAGGCCATTGGAATATTAGAAAGTAATCTACAATTATTATTGCATAATTATTACACTGCTTGGTGTAACTCTTGATTCGGATTGGTCAGTTGCGACATTCCAAAGTATGCTATTCCTCCATAACAACTGGTAAAAGCTGATAACACAGGCTCATCCAAGCAACTGAAGTCAGTGCTATATGCTTGCTAGGAACAGTTTTTCTTTGCATTTGGTCAGCTAATATAATATTAAGACGAATCAATATTATGTGTACAATAATTTAATTATGTCATCCTGGTATTGCCGACTCGCTCTCTCTTGTTTTGATGATTGTTTTGTACACTGTAATGGATTATAAGATAACTAACAAACTTGTAAGATTTGAGCTCTTTTATCTTGACCCATGTTTCACAATTTATACCCAGTGCAATGCTGTACCAGGTGAGCTACCAAGCAAGTTTACTATGCTAGAAAAGCCATGCATATGGAGCTGGTTATGCCATGCAAATGTCTAAATGTTTTAATTTACAAATCATGCACTATAGTAAAAGTGTTTTACTGTCTAGTGTTCATTTCAGTGGAAAACTACAGTATAGGTACTTTTTTTTTTTTTTTTTTTTTTTTGTAGAGAGAGGCACATTTTTCCAGTGAGCCTATGTTTTTGTGTCTTATGTCTTTATAAATACTAATAAAAGCCGATATAGTATTTTAGTAATATGCATGCTAAAAAAAAATCAATGTCATGACCCCTATTCATGTTCTTCCATACCACACACAATGCTTTCCTCTTTTTTATGGTGGTGTGATTAGTCTGTTATGAATGTAATGACATTTGAACACATTTGTGACATGACGTACCAAAGCATTCATCTAAGCATACAGTTCACATAAGCGACTGCAATTCTGTTCCAAGTGCCATCTGCCCACAAACTCTAGTAGAGCATGATGAATGGTGTGGAAATGATGTAGGGCCCAGTGGACAGAAGGGGTTGATAATGGACCACCTCATTTGGATTACAACACTCTTGAATAGCAGTGCAGTTGCCAGGATAGAAGCAAACAAACAGTGTGGTTTGAAAACACAGCAAAGACTACTAAGAAGGTTATGAAACAAGATCTCCCCAACCAAACCATTTCACTGGCTTTGTTAGGCTCTAATAGTGAATCACAAATCACACTGTGAGGCAGACCAATGTGGTGATATGATGTATTAAAGTCACAGAGGTGAGAAGTCTACGGTGAAACAGACAGATTTGTTTTGTTAAAGGCAGGACAGAAGCTTGGCCTACGGCCTTAAAGAGGATTGAGATAAATAAAACCCATTAGAAAATCAAGTGCTAATGCACCGAAGGGATTCATGTCCGCTCAACAATCCAGTCCAGTGTAAACACAGGATTTGTTTAGGCAGGTTTACAAAACTTGATGTACAGAGAATATTAGAACATGGTGGGCTACATTTTCTAGCTATATGTTCTAAGAGTTTTCCCTCAACAAACTTCTAATTTTCTGCTTATTGATAGTAATTAATTGTTGTATAGATGGTCGTGCATTAAGAGTATTAATAAACAGCCAGTATGCTAATATGTAATATGCATCCTAATAAGAAACTAGTTAATAGTGAATAGTGTTCCCTAATCTAAAGTGTTCCCAAATGGTCATACTTTATTTCAAGGTCCAATTTTCACTAACTACAACTTTCATCTCAATAAACTCCTAATTAGCGGCTTATTAATAGTTAGTAAGGTAGTTGTTAAATTTAGGTATGTAACTTTCGAACTAACCTTCAAATAGTTTTAAACATCTAGTCAAGGCTTTAAGCCAAAATTCACAGTATAAACCAACCCGATCTCATGAGAAAATGTAACTATTTTATAAGGTTTTATGTGATTTTATATGAATTTTTACAAAGAAACTGGAAAAAAAGTATGAAGCTCCACCCCTAAACTTAAAGGGGTCATATGATGCTGCTAAAAAGAACATTATTTTGTGTGTTTGGTGTAATGAAATGTCTTTATGCAGTTTAAAGTAAAAAAAAACCACATTATTTTCCACATACTGTACATTATTGTTTCTCCTCTATGCCCCGCCCTTTTGAAACGCATCGATTTTTACAAAGCTCATCGGTCTGAAAAAGCGAGGTGTGCTGTGATTGGCCAGCTATCCAGTGCGTTGTGATTGGCCGAATACCTCAAGCGTGAGACGGAAATGTTACGCCCCTCACCATACTGTTGTATTCCCTCAGCGACCAGCACGGATCAGCTCTAGTAATGATGAAGCAGATATCGTCCTCTTTTGGAAGACCAAACAAAGTAGTTTCGCTTTCAGAACGAAGCACACAGCATCTTCAGGATATGGCGGCGGCAACAATACTACAGTGAGAATAAAAGTTACGCCTTCTTTCTTTGCGTGAACATTTGGACGGCGTTATGCAAATCTTCCCACAGAGCGACGTAGGTATGTTGGATATATATATATTTTTTTTTATTATTCAGCAGAGGGATCGGAGACGGGCCTCACCCTTTCTCCTCCCTCACTCTCTAAATACAGCGCTCAAAAAAAAAATGAATGAGCTGAATGAGTAGGTTTATAGGGCGATGTCTAAGGTGGGACAGACGCCTACGGGCTATCTGTTCCCATTGCAGCATCACCCCTAGGCCCCGACATTTTCCAATGCTGGACACAGGTCTTAGGGGCTGCTGGGCAGGAGCAGGCCTAGCCATGTTCCAGCTCCTCATTTGGGGAGCATCGCTTCTCATACTCCCCCAGTATATCTGGAGTCAGAGCGGCGCTCCCGGGCCGAAGGCTTCTAAGCAGTAAGTGGATCTGCGGACTATTATTCTCGCTAGATAGTCTTCGACTAAAAGGTCCTGACGCCTATGGCCCAGGACTTCTGAGGGCGGGCCCCTCTGGGGAGGAGCGGTGTACACCTCATCATACGGTGCCCGTCTCTCCTCAGTGCCCTCAGGAGACCGGCCTGTCAATCACCCCTAGGCCCCGACATTTTCCAATGCTGGACACAGGTCTTAGGGGCTGCTGGGCAGGAGCAGGCCTAGCCATGTTCCAGCTCCTCATTTGGGGAGCATCGCTTCTCATACTCCCCCAGTATATCTGGAGTCAGAGCGGCACTCCCAGGCCGAAAGCTTCTAAGCAGAAAGTGGATCTGCGGACCATCATTCTTGCTAGATAGTCTTCAACTAAAAGGTCCTGACGCCTATGGCTCAGGACTTCTGAGGGCGGGCCCCCCTGGGGAAGAGCGGTGTAAACCTCATCATATGGTGCCCGTCTCTCCTCAGTGCCCTCAGGAGACCGGCCTGTCACCCCTGCCACCCCCTGGTGTTTCAGGGCACAGCGGTCTCCAGCGAGCGCATCTCTCAGCATCCGCCTGGAAACGTAGCGGTTCTGGGAGGCTCGCTACCTCCTAGGAGGTCTCCAGAGCAGCTAGATCGGTCGTGCCCTGCCGGTCCTCCGCTTCAGGGCACCGAGCAAGCCGCTCTAAGTACACCAGAGGTCAGTCTTGAGAGACTGATTCCCTTAGTAGACTTTCTGGCAGCGTGGAAACTTCTGCCAAATGTCTCACAATGGGTCCTGCAGACTCATCATATGACCCCTTTAACCATCAGTGAAGTGTAAACAGATCGTATGAAATTGTATGAATGACATTGTATAAATTCATACCAATAGTTAAAGACAAACCACATTATATATATATATATATATATATATATATATATATATATAGGGTTTCTTAGGTCTATAGCCGGTACTTCATCGTTCCCAAGCAGGAAGTTCCTCAGGTTTGCTTTCGGGGGCGAAGCTTACCAATATCGTGTTCTTCCATTCGGTCTTGCACTCTCACCCCGCACTTTCACCAAGTGGGTGGATGCTGCTCTGGCTCCTCTGCGACTCCAGGGCATCTGCATACTCAACTACATCGACGATTGGTTGATACTAGCTCAATCAGAGCATATGGCGGTTCGGCATCGAGATGTCGTCCTCGCCCATATGAAAGAACTGGGGTTGCGACTGAACGCTAAGAAAAGTGTGCTTTCTCCATTACAGAGAACCATATTTTTTTTTTTTACTTGAATTTATTTATTCACCATCTTGATACCATAATTAATCCAAAAACATTGCACAAGCACATATTTTAATCTATAGCATGGCAGGCCTTCTCTGTCATAGCTGGCTCCATGTCTGGCCAACCATACCAGCAGCCCTTCTACATAGCAAGCGAACTACACAACAAAAAACAAGAACACACCCATTACAATGAGCAAAGTTTCCACAAAGTTTGTTTATAGTGTAGACATTGTATTTGATTATAATGGGAGTCTTCTAGATGTATTATTTTGCATCAGTCATTTGCAATGTAGCTGAGGTGTACTATAAAACACAAACTCTGTGATAAATAAAAAAAAAAAAATATATAAAAAAGTTGGGAATTCTTACCAAGAGATATTCAATACATTTCAATACATTCAACCAAAGACACTGTAGTCAAATAAAAACTGATTTTAGGGGCAAACAGGATCTTTTATGACATTTTTGCAAAGAAAATTATTTGAAATAGTAGTATGTTTTTGAGTTCCCCTTCAGGAACTCGAGCTGTGTCGAAAATGCTTTGGGAACGCCCCTGTGTGCCCACGCTCTGAATCACATGTGAAATCAGTCCAATGGAATGGTGAAACGTCACGGGCGGGGTGACATAGAGACCAGAGAGCTCCATTACAGAGAACCATTTATCTGGGCGTGGTGTGGGATTCGACCTTGAAGCAGGCACGTCTGTCTCCTGCTCAGATCAAGTCGATGGTCTGATGGCAGCTGCATCCAACGTGATACCTTTTGGCCTGCCGTACATGAGATCCTTGCAGTGGTGGCTCAAGACCATAGGGTTCTCCCCATGGGGCAACCCACTTCGCATGATTGAGGTCACGCAGCGATGCTTACGTGCCTTAGACATGTGGAGGAAACCTTGGTTCCTGTCACAAGGCTCAGTGCTAAAACGTCACGGGCGGGGTGACATAGAGACCAGAGAGCTTAAAAGCACATCCGAAACAAGCAGCGTTAGCGTCTGTGTTTTCAGCAAGCGCTCTGTGTGAAACGTGTCAGTCTTATTTTCTGTTGTTTGTATTAACAGTGCACAATCACCTCTATATGGCGAGCTAAACAGACAGCACTTTAGATTGCGTGTTCTTCTCTGCCCATGCTAAACATTATGGGTGTGAATGCACGCGATCGTTGTGTTGCTGTTTGGGAGCGGAGCACGCACAGTCAACTCTCGAGGGGGCTGGTTGTGCATCATGCTCCAGCCGCGAACGCTCCACTCCCGCCGGGCAAACTTCGAGGAGTGTGTCCGTGTTTGCAGTCTCTACGGTTCCTGTCCCACTGTTGCTGGCCACGGCGGCGATTGGGATCGCATGTGAATCTAGCGCTCTCTCTCGAGGTTCGGAAGCCCGTGCTGCGGTCTCTTCCCTCTTTGAGTGAGAGCTCTATGCTGCAGCTATCTTCCTCCGAGGAGGTTGATGTTAGCAATGATGTATATGAGATTGATGATTCGCCATCTCAATCTTTTGAATACGAAAAGCATACTGCATTTTAGATCACTCGTTTCTCCCTGCCCTCACTATAATTAGGGGTGGGGATGCACGCGATTTATGTGTGGTTTGTTTTGGAGCGGAGCACGCACAGTCAGCTCTTGAGGGGGCTGGCTGTGTTCATTCATAAAATGTCCCTAGGTGTACAAGTGTGCATTACCTTGGATGTTTAGCTCTGCTCCCGCTGGCGTTTCTTCTTGAGGGAAGAAAGTCTTACACAATATAGAATCGAGTGGCTCGTGCGTTGCCGAGGCATGTGGCACATCAACTGACATGTGGAGGAAACCTTGGTTCCTGTCACAAGGCTCAGTGCTGGAGACTCCTTGTCGTCGCGTACGCTAACGACGGATTCCTCCCTGATGGGTTGGGGAGCATTCATGAGTGACCGCTCCACCCAGGGTTTATGGGGAGGTCACCATCTCACGTGGCACATGAATTGCCTGGAGTATCTGGCCGTGTTTCAAGCACTGAAACACTTTCTCCCGGACCTGAGAAGCCATCATGTGCTGGTTCGCACAGAGAGTCAATATGGAAGCAGACATCCTGTCAAGGCAGGGCCCGAGGCTCGGGGAATGGAGGCTCCACCCTGAGGTGGTGGAGCAGATTTGGAAAAAGTTCGAAAGAGCAAGCCCAGGTGGACTTGTTTGCGTCTCGAGAGACATTACTTTGTCCCCTCTGGTTCTCCCTCTCACATCCAGCTCCTTTCGGACTGGATGCTATGGTATGGTATGGCCGAGGCTGTGTCTGAATGAATACGCATTTCTCCCGCTTGCTCTGCTCCCGGGAGTTCTGGAGAGTGTTCGCCGTTATGAGGTGCGTCTCCTAAGTTAGTAGCTCCGTACTGGCCTGGCCAGCCATGGTTTGTGAAAAGTGGGATCTCCTCTCTCAGGCGGGGGACACCATCTTTCAACTGTTGCTGGCCACGGCGGCGATTGGGATCGCATGTGAATCTAGCGCTCTCTCTCGAGGTTCGGAAGCCCGTGCTGCGGTCTCTTCCCTCTTTGAGTGAGAGCTCTATGCTGCAGCTATCTTCCTCCGAGGAGGTTGATGTTAGCAATGATGTATATGAAATTGAGGACTCGCCATCTCAATCTTTTGCATATGAAAAGCATTCTAATGGAGGCTCCACCCTGAGGTGGCGGAGCAGATTTGGAAGAAGTTCGAAAGCAAGCCCAGGTGGACTTGTTTGCATCTCAAGAGACCTTACTTTGTCCCCTCTGGTTCCTCCTCTCACATCCAGCTCCTCTCAGACTGGATAATATGGTTCAGACATAGCTGAGGCTGCGTCTGTACGCATTTCTCCCGATTGCTTTGCTCCCGGGAGTTCTGGAGAGAGTTCGCCGGGATGGGGTGCGTCTCCTAAGTTAGTAGCTCCGTACTGGCCTGGCCAGCCATGGTTTGTGAAAAGTGGGATCTCCTCTCTCAGGCGGGGGACACCATCTTTCACCCCCATCTGGAGTTGTGGAAACTGTGGGTGTGGCCCCTGAGGGGGCACAACTCGTAGCTTCCGGTCTCTCAACTAAGGTTGTTGAGACCATACTCCACTCCAGAGCTCCCTCCACGAGGAAACTGTACTCCTTGAAGTGGGTTGTGTTCATTTCATGGTGTGGAAATCGTCAGCTGTTCCCAGTTGACTGCCCGGTTGGTTCAGTTCTGGAGTTCCTGCAGGAACGAGTCTTCGCAGGTTTGACCCCCTCCACATTTAGAGTGTTCGTGGTGGCCATAGCTGCTTACCACATCCCTTTGGGTAGTCATTCACTGGGGGCGAAACCCGTTGGTACATGTTTCTTTCATTGTGCTTGAGGCCAGGAGAAGTATGGTACCACTCCAGACTTTCAGATGCATCTGTCTTTGCGGTGCTCACCATGATTTCACACTAGACAGGCATTTGTCTGTATGGGGGCGTGGGCATTCTCGTTCCCAAAGCGTTTTCCGATGCAGCGTGAGTTCCCGAAGGGGAACATCACAGGTTACATATGTAACCATGGTTGCCCGAGCGTGTTTGCAGTCTCTACGGTTGCTGTCCCACTGTTGCTGGCCACGGCGGCGATTGGGATCGCATGTGAATCTAGCGCTCTCTCTCGAGGTTCGGAAGCCCGTGCTGCGGTCTCTTCCCTCTTTGAGTGAGAGCTCTATGCTGCAGCTATCTTCCTCCGAGGAGGTTGATGTTAGCAATGATGTATATGAAATTGAGGACTCGCCATCTCAATCTTTTGCATATGAAAAGCATACTGCATTTTAGATCGCTCGTTTCTCCCTGCCCTCACTATAATTAAGGGTGGGGATGCACGTGATTTATGTGTGGTTTGTTTTGGAGCGGAGCACGCACAGTCAGCTCTAGCTGTGTTTATTCATAAATTAACAAGTGTACAAGTGAAAATGCTTCACTTCATGGTGCGGATATCGTCAGCTGCTCCCAGTTAACTGCCCAGTTAACTGTTGGTTTAGTTCTGGAGTTCCTGCAGGAACGATTCTTCACAGGTTTGACCCCCTCCACCTTTAGAGTGTTCATGGTGGCCATAGCTGCTTACCACATCCCTTTGGGTGGTCATTCACTGGGGGCGAAACCCATTGGTACATATTTCTTTCGTTGTGCTTGAGGCCAGGAGAAGTATGGTTCGCTCCAGACTTTCAGGTGCATCTGTCTTAGCGGTGCTCGCCATGATTTCACACTAGACAGGCATTTGTCAGTATGGTGGTGTGGGCATACTCGTTCCCAAAGCGTTTCGACG